GCGAGCAAGTGGGCCGGGTGGGGCAAGTGGACCAAGGTTGCAATCTTTGCCAAGATTGACCAAGATTGCACAATCACCTAGATTCACCCTCCAATTAGCTGTTCTATCTCCCAGCACAATGTAGAGGTAGTGGTGGTAGCAGTAGTAATAGTATAACAATCGTAGTAATAGTAATGGTAGTCATTGGTGGTGGTGGTGGTATTAGTAGCAATCGATTCCCTCGCATGCCAAAGGTGCAAAGCAGCCGAGTCTTCACGAGAGCCTCGGGGCCGCTGGGCAAGGGCCCCATTGGCGGCTGGGCATTTCTCCATCGATCCTTGAGGTAGCTTTCCATCACCTCCAGCTGCTGTGCGTCGGCTTTTGGTTTAGCACGTTTCCGTGAACATGAGCTGCGTGCATCTTTGAAGTCAGTCTGGCCGCTCAATTCAGAGGGTGTTCATCATTGTTCAGGGCTTGGTATTTCAGGGGGCCACAGGCTTCGGGGGTCATGTGAACTTCTGCAGAGGGAATGAACCACAGGCCTCCGTCTCGGTCCGATCCGCCAGTTGCTGGATGTACCTATGTCGTAGCAGATGCCAGACAAAGCATGCGTCTAACTCTGGGGGACTGTGACTTCACCCAAAAGCAGACAACCATTTTCTACCCCCTGCAGTCCAAGATGCTTCACGGATTCCATGAAGCTCTTGAGTACTGGAAGCGGGAGCTGGCTGGTGAGCTTGAGGCATCCCAACAACGGGGAAGGCTCGGCTCCCGCCAAATCCGTCAACCAATGGACAAAATACAGACTCAAGTCGCGCTTGGTTAGCTTTCGATCCGACTTGTTCTGCGACGTGATTGCAGCCTTGATCCCACGAAGAACTGCTCCGGGCGGGGCCTCCGCTTGCACAAACCATCCGTTATTGAAGGCCAGACCGCTCAGCACCATTCGCACCGATGACTGAAGGTCTGGCTTCAAGCTGCTCCTGGATGCGTCGTGTAGGTCAGAAACGCAGAAGCATGGCAATCACAAGCCCTTATCTAGGCGAGGCCGCAGGAATCATCAGTGCACGTTCTTCAACCCACTCTTCATGCCTACTCTTGCCTTGAGACTTGTTGTCTTCTGTCTTGTTGGACATTTTGCACTCGTAAACACTCTACCATGCGCGTCAACATTAATTAACATTAACATCAGTCTCTTCTCTCTATCGAACTACATCCGAAATAAAAGACCAAGCTTCAAGGACGGCAGAAGCTCCGGGTAGCGTTCGATCAAATAGAAAATTGCCATGTCATGGTCTCCGACAACCTCCGACTTGCCATAGCCACGGTACGGAGCATCAGGTTGTTGAACGACCGGAAGCAAAAGGCTGACCTGAAAAGAAGGAACCATGAAGCCTGAAACCCGAACAACTTATATCATGTAACCAAAAGCAACTTCTTTTCCCCAGGCCTTCATGACATCATGCAATGCTGTGAGGACCAGAAGTGCGAGAGTGGTCTCACAGTCCACCTCGAGCTTCGAGCCACTGCCTTGAACGAGAATGCCTGTGGGGATTTCAAGTCTCGGATTGTTGGGAACTCGGGCAGGGGGATGTGGATGTCTTACATGTTAATGGGTACAGGCTTGATGGTCTCACACGCATGTATCTCATATATGTTGTAGAGAGAGCGAGGGGTGCATGTGCACGGCACATTCACATAAACACACGTGTGTCATGTACGAACACACATACCATGCAATAGTTCAGCATGGCGCATGCATGCACGTACTCGTCCACTCATGTACCCTACCGTACCCTACCGCTTCTCCAGCACCATCCCATTCGATGATGCTTGCGATTGGCTTTGTGCACACGCACCCACTCGCTGCTCCAGAGCCCTGACGAACTTTGCGAAGAGGCTCCATCCTGTGTAACCTCTCACTTCTGTCACTGCGCCTCGAGTTAAACTAGCACCTCCCATACCACCATAGCTGCATACACAAGATGACTAACAGGCTGCACAAACCACGTGCTCAGTTTTAGTTCCTCAGACAGCCCTCGACTGCGTCCGGCGGATCAAAAATGTTTCGAGGTTTAAACAACGTCAGGCTTTATGTTTTCACGCTTACTCGAGGTCCGGGGCCATGCCTTTAGAAGGGGCTTCTTTTTTGAGATGTACAGGCCTGCATCGAGCATCAGATCCTGGAAGTGCTTCCATATCCTGAGCGGCTATGAAGCTAAAACATGGAGCCACTAGCTTCTTAAGATGGAACAAGACAAGAAAAAAAGCAGCCAGGAGTCGTGTTGTCGCCATAGAACACACGGCACTTGTCGCTCGCACCTTCGCGAGAAGCCAATGGCCGCCATGTGTCATCCACTCCGTGGCAAAATCCGTGCTTTCCATCAATGCTCTGGCGCACCATCCAATAGATTGCAAAGAATGCTCCGATCGTGCGCTGGAACTCATCACCTGCCACTCTGCCACCGTAGAGGAAGTCACGCTTGAACTCCATGGTGTCTGCAGACATACCTTCAAGGCCAAACCTGGCGTTGCGCAATAGTTTGGAGCTTAGACTGCGAATGATCAAACATGGGCTGCAGTGTGCATTCATGCCGGGAAGCAGATGAAGCTCCGGAAAAGTGGCCATCAGGTCCTGTCGAATGCTTCTTTTCGAGGTGCAGGGGCGTGTGTTCAGCCGGAGCAACTCTTAGTTGAATCCTAGGCCTTGAGCCGGTTATAAGCCGTACAGTATCAAGCATATCTTATATCCTCTGGAAGCGGCTCTTGAGAGTCGAGTCCTGGAAATACTGCCCGAGGGTGTAGTCTGGCTTCGCAATGTTCTTGGCAATTGCCCTGGCCCGCTCCATATCCATACCTGAGATGCTCTCAGAGGGGCACAAGTGTTACAGCGTGGGACTATAGCGAGCAAGCTATCTTAATAATATGGCTACTACTCTTATTGCTATAGTTATCAAGGGCGGCTTCGGCACTGCGACCCGCCATGACTGCCTCCAAGAGTGGACTCGGACTGCCACCTTTCTGTGCAATCTCCATCTGGACGGCCTCTATGGACACTGTAACGCCTGGAACACGACCTGCGACCTTCGCCAGCTGGACCGTCTCATCTTCCCCCTTCAAAGTTGTGTTCTTGCAGGGAAGAGCACTTGCAACACAACCACCCATGGCGCAAAAGGCAGTCAGCCAAATTCCGACTGCTACTCGAAATACGGAAACAAAGCACAGCACCAATGCAGCAAATGACCCTTTGGGGGTTTGTGGCTCAACAATCCGACTCACGGGGCGCCAAAAGACAATCTTAAAATTTGGGCCGGCCGGCGACGCATTCAGGAAGTGCACGGGTCAAGGGAGTCCTAGCATCTCCAGAAATTGAAAACATGGGCTTCGCTTTGCAGCTTTCGATTGTCAACGTTATATCATCAGGATCTTATACTGAGCCTCGCATTCTTCATCACGATGCACAACGCACGAGAGTAACACGCTTCAACGTGCCCAGGGGCCTGCTTGAGCAGTTCTAGTGCAGTACATCCATCGTGCTCCTCGCCAGCCGATTCTCCAAGCCCTCTAAGTCGAAAGGCCAACGCCAGATCTGCTTGCATTGAGCACTATATAGCCGAATGGGTTAGCCAAAATGCGTAGACGTCCTAAATGTCATCCTAGATGTCGCTGCTGCATCTGTGCCTCGTTGCCCTCCGAAGGGCCTTGCCAAAGGGGCATGCCCTCCGAAACAACGGCCTTGGCGCTTTCGGGTTTCTTGGAGAGCTGGGCGGACCTGAATATCGTTTCGATTTTTCTTAAAAAGCCGTTTGTGATCCTTCTTGGATGCGACTGCTTGCATAGGCTCGGGGTCCCTTGCTTTCCGAGACTCTGCCTCTTGGAATAGCATCGTCGTCGTCTCAGGCGTAGGAGTAGGAGGAGAAGTATGCGAAGGTGTGAGTCGGAGAAGGAGAAGTAGGAGCAGAAGGAGTGGTAGGTGGAGGAGTAGTAGGACCAGTAGTAGGAGCAGTGGAAGTAGTAGGAGGATAAGGAGGAGTAGGAGAGAAGGACAATTTGCAGTAGCAGTAGCAGTAGCAGTAGCAGCAGTAGTAGTAGTGGTAGTAGCAGCAGCAGCAGCAGCAGTAGTAGTAGCAGTAGCAGTAGCAGTAGCAGTAGCAGTAGCAGTAGCAGTAGCAGT